TTGAGAGGGGGCTGCAGATTTAAATCAGGCAATTTAAAATGTTTCCAATTATAGTAAATGCCTTTGGGAGGATGCCAAAATGCTAAATAGCTTGATAAAAATGAAAGGTTCTTTGTTTCAATTATTTCTTACTGCGCTACATGCTTCCCCTGCCACCACTTAATTAGAGACAAGAACTCCACAGGAGATCCTGTTCTTTATTAATTTATTTTGAAGTTATTAACTGTACTCTCAACAGCAACACCAAAACCTGAATTCAATGGCGCTCTGGATAAGGAAAGACAGTCCAGTGGGTTATGCCATTAGCATGGGGCTGGAAATGAGAGACCATAATTCTCACTCCTGACAAAAGCTCCTCATGCAATCAAATCACTTGGACCCAGATGATTAGAGGTGTTTCATTTTACTCCTGTGGAAAATCATGCAAGCCAGGAACCTCTAATGATGTGTTGTGTCATCTCTGTCTGTGACAATGTCTGCTTTCAGAAGGGTTTGTGAAGGTATCTAGCTCAAGAAATGCTCAGTGATTACTTAAAAAGTCCTGAAAAAATGTAACAAACACATGCATTTTGGAGCTTCATGAACACACATTATTTCACCTTGTACTAGCCTGTACGAATGGGATTAACTTTGCACCCTGTTGCATATCAGAACTTTGGCCAGGTGGCAAGCAAACAACCCCTCCTCCAGGCTGAAATGGGCCATATTGTTTTCTGTAGCTCCTATGTTCTTCCTGATCTAGGAATCAATGAGAATGGCAACAGGAAGCTGAAATTGGGATTTTCAGTCTCCCAGTTCTAATTAAAAAAGAGGCCCCATGAGCTAATACAGCAGAGGAGTTTTCTGCTCCCCTAAGGATTATGGAGTTTAAAGGGTCACAGCTTCTTGTAGCAACTACTTGATAACATGAGGAGCTTAACACTTGTTTGGACTTTGCCAACAAAATGTAGGTGAGATAAGAAAAAAGAACCTACAGCAAAATTTACAAACTAATTAGTCAGCATTAAAACAAGTCACTTCACAGGTGAGGACACCAATAGAAATGTTTATGTTGGGGATTTGTCTAGCCTTGGAGCTATCTTGTTTCTGGTTTAAAATACTTGGGTTTACTCACTGAACTGTTCTGCTTGCAACAGCATTGGGTTAAATACAATAGAACAACATGTTAAATTGTTTGTATAACAGCTTGTAGGACAGGTCCTCACTCCTCACTTGGTGCAATTTGGCAGGGATTATATGAGCTCAAGGGCTGTCTCTACATAATTAGTTGTCAACTAATTTGTTCTAAGGTGTGATTACTTGAAGAAAATTTTCACTAGTGATAGTTACTGAAACATGTATTTTGCTGCCTGTATTATCCTGTTGCTGGCATACATATTTTTCCTTGGAGCACATGCTAGTGAACTTTATAGACCACAGCATCCTTATTACTTTGTGGCTCTGAATGTTTATGTTGCTACCTAGGACATCTGTGACCCAGCTGTCTGTCTGTCCTGCACTGCTTTCTGTGTAATGTACCCAATTCTTCTTGGAAAAATGTAGCCTATGTTGGCTATATAACTACATTGCATAGAATGGTGAGATGAGTCTTGATGGAGCTGGGTTGAGCAAACCTGGCCATACGTGCACCATGCCAGCCTGTTGGATTATCCCAGAGCTCACAGAAAATCCTATTCAGGTTCATGATTCTTTTCCTTGCAGTGCCTCAGATGAACATAGCATCACATAGGTTTAGCCCTTTTCAGATATGCTAAGTATCTGCAGACCTCACCACTTCTGAGGGTGTTCATTACTTTTGAGTCCCAGGTCAACCTCTTGAGCTGAGGAGACAAGACTGGGTTTCTCAAGGAAACTAGTGGTCTAGGTGAATTCAGTTTGTGTGCCTGGGACTGAATCTAGCACAGAATTCCTTGGCAGAGGTGGGGGAGGGCAGAAAAACAGAATTGGCTTTCAAAGGACTGTTGCTACAAATACAGCAATATTGTCAGAAATCCTGAAGTATTTGACCTAATTTTCAATTAAATAGTCATCACTATAAAATATTACACTGCTCACTTGTATTTACATGCAACAATTGCGTTTCATTGTTTTTACTAACCATCTAGTAGTTACAAAGACTCATTTATGACCACTTAATAGCCAGACTCTTAATATTTGTAGTGCAATTAGCCTGAAACAGTCTTGAATAATGTCCTGTTTACAACTGAAGTAATAAACCAAGAGCACCAGGGGACAGAAAGGCTAATTAAAGGGGACAATTGGAGGAACAATCCAGTGTTGGATGGCTGGAAACACGCTGTTATTCTTCTGTATGGGGGAGATTTATGCTGAAGGTGATTAAACCTTAAAAGTATTTGGTTTCTTTTTGCATTTCTGTTTGGACTCACTGGACCTGATTCTCATTTACAGCCAGACTTCTTTACACATCCAGTGGCAGTGTAAAAAGTCTTTAAGAGGGTATTTACTGCCAAAGTGGACTAAAGAGGGCCTAGCATAAAAAGGCAGTTAAAATCAGACTGGACTAAAAAGTTAACACGAACAGTTTTCCTACCTCTAAGTGCCCAGTGTTTTATAAAGGCTGTGGGATCTTAGGAAATTAATATCATTGCTATATAATGAACACAGACTGTATCCAGATAAGCTGTGTAATTACTGCTAACATGCAAACCCTCCTAAAGTCTGCTGGAGTGCTTGGCCACCACTCCTTAACTATATTGGGTAGTAGTGATAAGGGCACTCGTCATGCTTCCAAAATCTGCTTTTTATTGGGAAAACTATTTACTGAGCATCTGCTACACATGTTTTCATTAGGAGCATAGTTTTGTAGTTCTACATGTAGGCTTTTAATGAGACAGAGCTAAAAAATCAAGACATCTGAGGCATAAGACGTTTTAAGACTTTTGTTAACAAGTTTGGAGTCTCATGTTTCCTAGCTTTCCTCTGCAGTCTGAAAAGCCAAGATTATTTACCTATTTATTTTTCTAAACAAAGCTGATCTCCTCTTCTGATCACAGGAGTCTAAGAGCTTTATCTTTCTTTCCTAAACATATTGAGATTTGCAATAGGGATGCAAGAGTTGGTAATGCTGTAAATTTGAGACAAGCAGTGTAGCTTTATTCATGGGCCTTTTAAGTACATTGTGCTTTCAGCTAAAATTAGCAGGAATTTTGCTACTGTTGGCTTCACTGGGGAAAAAATCAGACCTGAGTAACACCGTCATGTTCATTACTGAAGAACTATCAGATTAGAAAATGTAGTATGGATTGTAATGACTTGGTAATCAACATTATGGTCCATGGTTGTCTTATACATGGTGCATTTGTCCCATATTTGACATATATAAAGGTGCTTAAAAAGGTTATAAGGGTAGTATAAGTGGCTATATTTTTTACCCCAGATTAGTGGTTATGCACATACCTAGGAACTCAGGAGGATCCTGGAGATGCTGCTCTTCCATGAAGCAAAACTCTACTCTCAGCTTCTTGGAAGTAGCTTGCTTCTGTGCAAGGTCTGAGCTCCCGCCTCCTGTTGAGTGTGAACTCATGTCAATGCACACTGCAGGATTCTATGGCCCCCAGCTCCTAGCTCTGGGCTAGCAGCATTTTAAGTAGCTTGTGTACCACCTTTGCTGTGCATGTTGTATGTAACAGGTAGTCAGTGTGAAAAAGGTCCTGCAGGATTAACTATAATCAGTAAAGACACTACAGATATTTTTTGTAATATAACCTGTCTATGTGGGCTGGTACTTTGGGTCGTGTCTAACACTTCCATTACAACACTTGTTTTTTTTCTTCTCCTTATTTTTATCTGCTAAATGCAATGTAGAAGATGAGCTGCACCAGCTCCACTCCTATGCAGGTCAGCCTCACACCAGGTATTAGTGGTATACACTAATGCATATACCCACCAGTTCATTTCTAATGTGACTCTGTTAAAGCTAGACTGGAATACTCAGGGAAAATCTAACTGCAGAGCTTTCCAAGATTTCTCTCCAACCCTTCCAACTCAATAATCAGCTTGAGGAATAATGTGACAAATGTTGCTTTGTCTGCATTTCAGAGGCATATGTCAGGCCACATCATTCAGGGTATTTTGAGAAGATACACTATCTGGAGAAAAGGTCTTTGAAAGCTTGGAAGTTTCTAGTTACCAAAGGACTGCAGTTCAGGTGAGGTGGGGAGTCCATAGGGGAATGGAGATGGGTCTGCAGATGTGTAAAGGGATACTAAGCCTTCAGATAACATTATTCAGCATGCTGATTAGGGACTTGACAGTGATAGTATAAAGTTGAGATGTATGGCAAAAAGAAGAAAAAGAAAGAATCAGGTGATCAGCCTGATCAACCAGGCTGCTAGAAGCCTTGGCTGAGCTAATGAAAGAGTATTTTATGGGGAACGATCAGATGTCAGAAGAGATTTATAGGCAATGATCAGACTCAAATTGACTATAAATTCCTGGTACATTTTTTCCATAATAAGTCAATGCTCCTCTAAGCAAGTTATGCATAAAGAGAAGGGCAGGAAAAGTCATATTATTTATTCATAATTTAACAGTAAGAACTATATAATTTTTTAAAGGATGTCTAAGTGACAGAAAGTTGAAATGAGAAGGGAAGCTAGGAAGTAGCCTGTCTTCTGAGGAAACTGGAGTGCAGAATTTATACATTGCTTGTGAGGGATCTCATTCCCAATGCCTTTCCTACCCAAGGTCTTTGGAGCTGGGAATTATCTTACGATATTTATTGGTCTCAAGGTCCAGATTCCAAGCTTGTCAGTAGTGTAAGCACGAAAGAATTGTGGGTTTGAGTGAAACTCACTTACGGGTAAGGGTAGCTTGTTAAAAATGCTTCCCATCATACTTTCCTCTATTTGCTTTCAATTTCAAGGTGATAAAGAGGCTGGTTAAATAGGGCAGGATGTTATGGGAAATGTCTGTCTTTAGAGGCTGGCAAATTGCCTCTACATAAGCAGCACTAAATGCCTTTCCTTTTTTTTTTTCAGCGAAACCCTGTGGAAGCTGTGCCTGAGGAAAGCCCATGAAAAACACCAGAGGCACAACACTTTAAAAACTCATTTAGGAATGGAGCAATACACAAGAAGCAGTGTGAAATGCTCATAGTACCAGGCTTGGATAGCTGGCAAAACTTCACAGGCGACCGTGTCATCTGGGGACTCAATGGTATAAATTAGGAGAGCATTTTATCACAGGCTAGATTTATGAATGTAATATTTATGTCAGGGAGGGAGAGGAGAGAAGAAATATAGATTTTTAAAATGGTTTTAAATATTTTTTGCTTAAAAAAATCTCATTATTTTTTATCTTTCTAAGCCAGCTGGATAAATCAATAGAAAGCAAATTTAACTATTGTAAGATTTTGGGAAAGACACTTGCATTTTCTTTTCTTTTAGTGGTTGCATTCATTTGCCTGTTTCTGGAAACCCCTGGGGATGGGATTTTTTGAGCCTTTTCTCTACACATTAATGCCTGGGCTTATGCAGGTCAACACAGTTCTTTGCATCCCAAGACTTTCTGGGTATTCACATGTGGGAACAGTATTGAATCATAGTGTTTATAAAGAGGCATTGGATGTTCAGAAAATAAGTATTAGGCCCCAAATATTTTCACCTTAAAATCACCGTGGAGAACCCAAATTTTAAGTGACAAAGAAAAGTGTTAGCATTTGTAACTCTGTCTCCTGAAATATTGAAATTTTCATGTAATGTGTCCCTTTCCCTTGTGTCCCCAAGGCTGGCCTTCAACCACAGTGTCTCTGGATCTTGAAACATAAGTCTTTGACAACTGCTCTATGCTGATTACTTTCCTCCACCCCTTTAAAGAAAATTAGAGATGCAGTTTCTAAACCATATGGCTCTATGTTCTAGCTGCTCAGGAAGGAGTTCTTGTCTTCAGGTCCCTAGTCTATGGAACAACCATTGAGATGGTTTGGCCCCTCGGGGTTGTTCATTGAGGAAGTTTGCATCTCAGGAGACTGTTGTCCCCATGAGCTTTTCTCTGCTACAAGGAGAAGAAAGAGGGTTGTCCTCCCACCCCTCCTCACAGCCAGCAGGGTCAAGCTCCTTCCCTCGAGAAGTTATTTCTCCTCCTGCCTTGCTTCCGTAGAGACAGAGGCAGGGACAAATATGGCTTATGACCCAAAGCTGATGGTTACTGGTCAAATGCACAGGAAGTCTGGTGTATAGTCTATGGTGGTGATTACATCGTGTTGTCATTTGCCAATAAGCAGTGCTTGAAGTTTCTTTAGGAGCTTTCTTTAAGTGTCTTAAAGGCTTGCCCATCAACTCCATCTTAGGACCACATGATCCTTGAGGTCCTTTACAACCTGGTATTCTATGACTCTATGCTTGATATGTCACGGGGTTGAAATTAGGGCTCTAATAACTTCACACCTCATTGAATTTTCGGGATAAAACCCTTCCTGCAGGAAAGCATGGGATGTAGCTGTCCAAGCGGCCTCTCCTCATGCAGCATGCAAGTGACAGCAGTGTGGTTGCTTGTTTGATGTCTTTCTCTGCAGCAGAGCAGTACCGACGCTTTCTAATTTTTCTGTTAGCAACAGGAGCCACTAGCACTGTTCACCAGGGAAAATCTGGCCCATGAGGGGCATTGTCTATGCAATTATGAAATACATCAGCATGTCTGCCCATAAAGACATTTATGATTCATGTCAGTGCAGTGGATAGCAGGGTAGGTATAATTAGGCCAATAAGAGAAGATCCACCTGGGGTGTGGAGGATTGTCTAATGTTGCTAGTTCCAAGGGGTTGCAATGACGTACTAGTCCAAGTCCAGACATGCTTTAATAAGCACCATCCAGCTAGGTCCATTTTGGGTATGAAAGGGGGCAAAGCCCACAGATGAACATTTCCATCACAGATAGGATGGTTGCCGCCAGGGCAAGGCACTTCCCACAGCTTTCAGTGCTGGTATAAACAAGATCTTTGGGGACAAGTGGAGCTTGCAGAATGGCAGAGATTAGCATCAATAGTGAATCAGCTTTCACCAACCTCTTCTTATTAACGTTACTCCTTAAGATGAGGTATTAATAACTGAATTAAGTGGTGGAGTTGAAGACTAGGACCAGGGAGCCTCACCAGAGACTGAGCACAGCCCTGCCGAAGTGCCTCTCAGGGTCTGGGAAAGTGTCACCTACTGATGACAAACTGTGAATAGGGAAGGTGATATGATAGAGGTGTATTTGTCTGTGAAATGCTTGCGCTGGTGGACAGGAAGGGAACTGTTAGAGATAGTGGATGCAAAGGCAAAGGAAGGGGGAGGAGAAAAAAGCATTTGGTAGTCCTGCTGTGGGTAGGTTGGTACTGTGTTTTTTCCAAATGATCATGAGCTTCCCACATTTCCTAATGACCCTCTGCCTATGCTGTTCCCTTGTGTTCAGGGGAGCATCACTGTAAGTGGTCCCAGGCAATAAAGTTCCTCATCAAATATTTCAAATTGGGAAGTAAGAGAGATGAGTTCAGCAATGTTGGTTAGTTTTAGGAAAAATCTCTTAGATTAGAATCACTTAGCACCTATCCCTGGCAGTTACTGACGGTATCTGATAAGCCAGGATGCTCTTGTGGATACTGCCTGTGGAAGGAAGAGTGTGATACAGATCATTCATAAGACTTCCTTGGTTGCTCTGCCTTCCTCTGTAGGAGAAGCTGCAGCCTTGCTGCAGCCTTACTGCAGCACTTCTGTGTCTTAAATGCTTTTCACACAGCCTGATGTGGTGTACTGGTGTGGCTGTCCAATAGCCCATTGCAAACCTGTATGTTGAGACCTCTACAGGTTAAAAAACATGAAAATAACCCATCTTTCTTGGAAAGTCTGGCTGCAATATCAAAGAGCTTGCAGTCTGAGCAAAACAAACTGGAGATAAGGTGGGAGAACAGGGACATAATGTTAAAGAAATGCCATTTACTATGATAAATGACTAGCAGTGATTTAAGATATTGAAGTATTATCATACAAATAAACACTTGATGAAAGCAGAAAGAGAAGTGCCTGAGGTAATAAAGATTTATGGATTCCTGGTTGAACCACAAGGATTTAGACCAAGATGGGAGTGAGAAAAAACCCAAGCTTGTTGAAGTGAAAATCACTTTTGAAAGGAACTAACGCCTGCCTAAGTGAAGGGAAACAGCAGCTGCTGGGGGTTCAAAGGATTTTTTTGCTTGTAGCCATTATTTTTCTAATCAGAATAAATTACTCCTCAGAAAAAGGCAACTGTTGCCCCATTTGATCTGTTGATATTGGTATGGTGGTGGTGAGAGCAGTGGTGAAAGAAACACAAAGCTGAGAAACAGGGCTGTCATGTCAAGATGTCACTGAAGGAGTGTTGGGAACACCTGCACCCAGGTGGGAGGAAGTCAATGTTCTTAAGAGAAAATTGTAGCTCAGAATGATGTCATGCAAGTGCTGTATTTTTTTTCACACTGATGGTGAGCCACAGATGGAGAAGAAAGGGAATGAAGAGGTAAAATATTAAGCAGACAGCAGAAAATAGACAAGAAAGTGCCACTAATCAAAGGAGATACTCTTATGGGAAAAAACAAGGTAACAAGAAAGGAAATAAACTCCCATAATACAAACTAATCAAGTACAAAAAGGAGGACTTTTCTGGCTCACTACCTGACTGACATGGTGAATTGCAAATGCACAAAGCAAAACTGGTCTTCAAAATAATTGAAAACATCTTTAAAGCTCTTGCCTATATGCATTAGATAAAATGCACTGAAGGATAAATTGATTCACTGAATGTATTGCATAAACAATACTAAGTAATTCCTTCAGGGTGAAATTTTTCACTTTACTATGTAACTACACAAATTCCAGGCATTATCCAAATTCTCCATCATCCCTGAAGTAAGATTTAAGAGGATGTCAGCCATTCACAGACATCATCCATGCAGGATTATTTGAATGCATACATACAGAGGATACTGAGGTAACTAAACACAAGAACCACGTTAAGAACATTTGCTTGAGAGGAAGCTAATAAACTGACTTAGATGTAGTTCTTAGTAAGGAAGATCTGTGTAGAAAGGCTAATATATAGCGTGCACTCTCCAGAGCTTAGCAAAATGGGTCTGTGATCATGACTCCCCAGGCATGACCTAAATGATCATATTAGTGTTATGTATAGGCAGATATATAACAGCTCATTGTCAGTACTAACTGCAAAGGTGGTGCGAGCCTGGTGGCAGCTCCAGAAATACCATGAAGAATCAGACTCTTCTGTGCCTTCCAGCTGAAATGATGCTTGACGTCATATTAGAAATTTGAACTCCTGTGGAACAGGAGTAAGATTGGGCGCACAGCTATTTTCCTCCTTGCTTACTCTGGTGGATAGTGAGCTATTTCCTCTCAGTGTCCAGTGTTCCCAGAATATTACCTATCATTTACCGTGAAGGGTTTTCTTAATTCATCACCAAGACATGGTTTCAGGGTCCTTCTCCCCAGTCACAAGTGTACAGCATCTGTTCCTGTAACTGTCACGAAGCTTACCTGTTATCACTGATATTAGAAAATCAGATTGATTCACTGACAAAATAAGCATGCAGAACAAGGTCCAGTCAGGATGTAATCAATTACATGGACTGGTGAATGTAAGTTATTAGTAACAGGAGAACCCATTACATTTTTCAATGGCCTGGCAATTATCTCAGGCCATGTCTGACCACAACCAAAACAGCTGACACTAGTCTCCTTCTTACCCACTAGATGTTTTTCTTTTGTGGGGAAGAGACTAAAAGTCCAACCCTATCCTCGAGCACTTTCAGTGGGGGAGCTACCATGCCTGTAGTGTTTTCTGCTTGATTATGCAGCCTTCAGTAAACTACAGTCTCATGGCTGCTGATTTGGCCTGGTGTTGTGAGCTTTGATTTTATAGCCCACTATAAAACTTAACAGTTTTGGCAGATATCATATTGGTGGCAACATTAAACATTTTCAATATTATCTACCAACTTTTTTTAGTGGAGACTGTTCTGACTGGGTCACGTTTATTCTTTGCTTAATCTCACAGCCCGAGGCTTTCATGGGGTAGTAAATGCCTTGGTGCTTTCACCTTCCTGACATTCAGATCTAGGCATGACTGAGCAGTAGAAATACACTCTGGCAGACAGGTCTAGGAACAGATACTTCAGCTCAGCTTCTTTTTTATTCTTTCAGAGGCAATCTATAACAGATAAAAAATCAAAGAGGACATGGTAGCTCCAGGGAACTTGTTTCCTGGATCCATTAATCCTATGTCTCACCTTTCCAAGGTGCTAGCGCCACTGCCCAGGTGTTTCACTGGGAGTTTGTATGGTGTCAAAGCTGTGGAAGTGAAGAGGGGTATGGAAAGTGGGGTGGAAGATAAATCTGTGGCTCTCCACAGCTCCAGTGACCACTGTGTTGTCCCTGCCAGGACCATGGGGTGAGCTGGAGACCCTGCTACCCTGGTGATGTGAAAACCAGCCTCAGTGCACAGCTCATGCACAAGGGAGGGTTCAATTCAAATTAAGGTAATTGAATTACGGTAAATGAATTAATTAGATAATCCTTGACACAGAGTGGGAAGAGTCTAGGAATCTTTTTGTTACTTCTTTGGCCGAGTTTGGGAGAAACTCTGGTTCAGCACTCCTGAAGCAATCACAGCTGTTTCTGCATAGGGAACATACTGATTTCCTTAAACAAACCTCAACATGCTTCAGCCTTTATGCCAATCTTTTTCAAACTCAGATGCCTACAGTTATGTTCCTCAGACTGAACTGAGATACTTTAAAAGAAGTCAGTTATTTCAGTCATATATGTGCTAATCAGAAGTGGAGACAAGCCCAGAATTGGAAGAATCCTCCAAGGAAGTACAGTGGAAACAAGTCTGGACAATTGATTAATGTGGAAAAACTGATGCAGAAATGAGAACCAGACTTTCATAGCATGCACTGCTTAAGTTTG